TTCAAACAGTTTTAATATAATTCGAATTATTTCGAATTGTTTTGCGCTTATAATTCACATTAGTGTTTTTTAATCTTTTTCAAATTATTTCGAATTATTTTGCATAAAATTGCGTTATTTCTTGCGTAATATTGTGTAATTATCTTACATAATATTTCGTAATTATATATTTCGCAATATTGCGAAAGTATTACGTAATATTACGGTTTTCTTACGCTTCGTAAATTATTGCGCAATATTACGCCCTATTAAATTTGCTGATGCTAAAATGTATTTATTTTTATAATATATTGGTTCCAGGTTCCAGAGCTTAAGGTAATAGTATAAAAGAAAAATAAACGCATCTCGATGCTGCGCATTGATACTTGTTTATTTTTAAGCCGCTATGTACAACCTTCGGTTGTACGACGCGGTGTTGGTATGAATTTAAAACAAAATCTACACAAAAATTTACATAAAAAATATAAATAGATGTGGAAATCCTTCATCAAAAAATTTGGAGCCAAAAAAATTTGGAGCCAAAAAAAAAATTTGGAGCCAAAAAAAATTTGGAGCCAAAAAAAAAATTTGGAGCCAAAAAAAATTTGAAGCCAAAAAAAAATTTGGAACCAAAAAAATATAATAAACAAAATAAAAATGTCATCAAATATTTTTTTTAAAATAGAATTAAATAACTCCATTTCGTGTTTACAAAAAAACTATAGCTATAAGTTTCGCGATCTAAAAAACAAGCATACAGGAATTATTGATCATTACAGAAAACGTCACAAAGAAATTTATGATGAAGCGAAAAATATATTAAAACCATACTCAAAATCAATTCAGCAAAATCATTTTATTTCGAGATTTATAACTCAACAACCAGTTTCACAACAAGAAAATCAAACTCAAAATACTACACAGACAATAGAATGTAAAAATATTATCGTTTATAATGAACTTTTTTGTTTTCATTATTTTATTGATGAGCGTTATTATATTTTTAAATTTTATAAACTTAAAATAGTGGATATCATTTAAAAATTTTTTGTAGTGGTGATATTATTAAAATTATTGATGAAAAAATAGACGATTTCTCATTTTCTTTTACAATGATTAATAATAATAATTTTATTAAACTAATCGAAAATGAATATTTTTTCTTAAACATGTAAAAATTGTAAAGATTTATTTTAAAAATAATATTATTTTTGAATCTGATATAATTAGTTTATTCATTAGATAG